CAAGATATAAGAGTACAGTTGCAATAATTTCAAGATATCATGCATGTGTAGAAATGTGTGTGTGTATGGCGTGAGAGATGGAGTAGAAAGTGGGAAAAGTGATGAATTGGGGTAATCGTCTGTGTTATTTATACATATTCTTGAAGATTTTTGATGAGAATACTAGTACTATGTAATCTAAGAATGATTTCAGAGGTACAAGTGCTATCACTCCGTGTGTGCATCTAATGGTTATGTGTGTGTGATATGCACAAAAATGAGAACTTGAGAAAGGAGTAGGAACTGTTTACTTTTATAGGACCTATCCTCGTAAGTTTCCATTATGTGATACTTCTATTAGTAATCTCGAAAGTCATGATACATACAAATAATACATAATTGATTTATTATTGTTTTCATAAATATCTACTTTTTTTGTATGCATATAGCAAGATCGTGTATGGCTAGATATGTGTTCCAAGTTTTTGTTTTTCCCTATATGTTTTTAGGTTATGGAACCATACATGACTTATACATATAAACATGTGCAATAAGATAACCAAGGATTTTGTGTACATCTAGACAAGCACAACTATTATTATCACTTTTATTTTATTTAGTCATTGGCAACCATACTTAGTATATATATATATATATATATATATATATATATATATATATATATATATATATATATATATATATATATATATATATATATATATATACATACACACTAATAGTAGGGGAATCCTCGCGGGTTGCGCCAGAATAGAATTATATAGTTAAAATAATAACTTTTACCAAATTATTATTTAATATTTCTACTTTGAAACAAAATGTTAGTAGTAAAGCAAACATATAGTTAATATATTAGTTTTATTAAACATTATAGTTTAACTTTTAAGTCATTGTGATATATACAATTATTTGATAATTTTATAAACCGTTTAAAATTGTGTAAATTATATATCAAATAAATGATAATGTAACGGGTAACGAAACGTACGAAAAAAAATATGAACTGCAATGTTTAGTAACATAAAAATAGAAAAACATATATTTATAAAATTTGTATTAAAAAAAATATATAGACAACGAATAATATAAAAAATAAAAAATAAACACTATAACATTTAATAACATAAAAACACTAAAACATATATTATAATAATTATATTGACTCTTCATATTTAAATCATAAATCTGTTCAAATACATTAATGTTTTTAATGAGCAAAACTTTACAACCTTATAAAAGAAAGTAAAATAAAAAGTTATTAGTGATTACTAATTAATAATCATAAGTTAAAAACTCTTGAGTTTTAACTAATAAATATACATAAATTAGAAAACTCTTGAGTTGTAGTGTGAGTTTCAAATAAACGTGATACTTGGAAATGTTTATTTTTTATTATTATTATTATTATTATTATTATTATTATTATTATTATTATTATTATTATATTCTTCAAAATAATTGGTTCTGATGCATCATTTTAATCCCTTCAATTATTAAACATAAAGATCTTTAATTATAAAATTATAACATACATAAGTGCATATACATGTTAAACAAATCACATATAATATATATATATATATATATATATATATATATATATATATATATATATATATATATATATATATATATATATTCGTAAATGTCATATGTAATTCTTGTGGTAGTAATATGGATAAATTACTTTCATATGAAGAATATATAATGATACGTCTATCATAATTACATATCAAATGTTCAAAATTATGTTATCTTTTAAATATTGACTTTTAAATATGTTGTGTTGGATAACCTAACAAAAAAAATAATATAAAATAAACATATTCAAAATAAAAAATCTAAAATCCAATAAATAAGAGCATTGGGTGGTTGTATATATAAATAAAGACGTTACATAAACATACATTTAAATCAAAAGAAAAAACTAACATTCGTCAACTTTGATCAAACAAAAAAACCTATATCCATTTGATGAATCTTCTTTCTTCATTTAACACCATTCAACTATAGAAACTTGATGACAATTCGTCACTAATCTGCATTCAAAATATTTTTCTTGAAATAGAAGAATCAGAAAGATATTCTAAGTGAAACATTGATCTTTGGAGAGTCACATTCAAGATTGAGTAATACACACAAATCACATATAAATATTAAATAAGAAACTGAATATAAAGAAAGAATAGAAAAGTTTCATTTGTTTTGGTTGAAAGAAAAAAATCATGTTACAATTACCATCGATGTGATATAACCCATTTCTTCAAATCATCATATTTAGATCGTGAATGCTTCAACTATATGAAAACTTTTGAATCACAATATCTTCAAATCCTTCTTACATGTAAGATTTTATATAACACAAAAGACACAAAAGATTAGCCTTTTTATAGTAGACTTTTTACTAACTGCTAATTAAACATAATATAAGTTATAAAAATTTGAGTGTTAAATCATAATTAAGAAAACTTTTGAGTTGCATGAGTTAAAAAAGGGGGTTTCAAATGAATGTGGTTTGAGAAAGTTAAAAAAGAGGGTTTCAAATGCATGGGATTCAAGAAAAAATGCTAGCTTTATAAGTATGTATAAACATGGGCAATAGGATAACCAAGGATTTTGTGTACATGTAGACAAGCAAAACTATTATTATCACTTTTATTTTATTTAGTCATTGGCAACCATACTTGGTATATATATATATATATATATATATATATATATATATATATATATATATATATATATATATATATATATCTTTAGTATCATATATAAGAAATCTCACTATTTCTAAAAGTAGATTGAATATAATAATATTATTTTTTTAAGACGTTCAAATCATTAAGCTAATAGTAAAAGTAGTTATCAATAAAATAATATTAAATTGTAACCTGTGTTTTAAATCCTTATATTTCTCAACAAAGTCTATCTCCTTCCCTGGATTTCGGATAATTTAAAATTTGAAACCATCATAAAATACATGTTGATTCAAATATCCCTCCTGAAGATGGCTCTTTCTTAATAGGTTTTTATTTTAATCCTTACTTATAATTGATTTCATTATTTTTAACTTTTTGTATTTTTATCTTATAAATATATTGGATGAAGGGTTTATTATATCAGGTTTGTTCCTAGAAAGGTTTTTACTATGTTTCTTTAATGTGTTAGATTTGCAGGTTCAAAGAACTCAACCAAGAGGGCCAGTTAGAGCATTGTATTATCATTAGTTTGTATATTTTGGCATCTTACTTTTGCAATAAAGAACGATTAAGCACAAGATTTGACATGATTAAGGTAGTTTGTATATTTTTCATCTTGTTTAGTCTAAAAATGAAACCTTTTTCATCATTGGTCCTTATAATATCAAGTGTCATCACATAGATTTCCTGATTACGGTGATTATTATCCTTATTATAAGGTTCTATATAGATTTTGTTCAATATTTTAAGTTTTCGAGAACCTAAATCAATATGAATTCTTGAATTATATACCATCATTGAAAATGTTTTAATTTGTGACCACACTTGGTTTAAAATCACAATGAACAAGTTGACACCTGAGTATTTTGGTCTTCTCGAAGGCCTATTTATCGACTTTTGAATCACAACACCTGATATCCTTATAAACTATTATTTATATATTTTAGCATTTTACTTAGTAGGACATTAAATTAATAAAGGAATTAAGGAAAACGAAAAAAAGAGAACGATAAACAGTACAACTGGTTTGGGTATGTATAAATGTAAGTAATAACAATTTAGGGGGTGTTTGGCAAAAAAGCTTATTGCTTATTAGTTTATTAGCTTATAAGTTAATAAGTAAGTGTAGGGTAACTTATGAGAAAATGACGTATTAGAGATTCCTTACCCGAATAAGTTATTTTAATCCAAACACTTTTTTAACTTATAGTGATGTGGAACCTAATAAGTTGTTTTAAAAAAGCTTAGCCAAACACCCCCTTAATATGGTATGGTAATACTCTTGAAAAATAGATGTCATTTAATATTCATTTCTCGAAGTGAACACAAAATGGTTTTAACTTTAAAGAGATCAAATTATTCGCCGCCCGCCGCTTTGCGCGGGTAGACGGCTAGTGTATATATATATATAGGGAAAAGTTCATTAGAGAGCCAATATGGATCAAAGAACCAAGGAACCCATCTTAACCATCTATTTTCTTTTAATCATGGCCATTAATCCTTAATTAACCAAAAAGAACACAGAGGGGCATTTTGGTATGTTCAACGTTTAATCTAATGTTGTTGTTTGTCTCCGTTAGCGTCTTCTGTCACTGTCCTTCATCGATTAATCCGAAATCTCGGTTGTTCTTCGAAATCAACCTTTTTTATCCAATTTACTAATAGTTTTTTCAGATCTCAGCTGATAATCAGGTATTTTTAATACATACTCATCTTTCGTTTATGATTATTAGGTCAATTCCGATGCATTGTTTATCAACTTATTTTTATTGTTATTGTAATCGTCTATTGTCAAATTATGTTGATTTTACCGTTTAATCTTCAAATTGTTATGTTTTTATTGCTAATTTGATATTTGTATACCGTACGTTGAATTTGCGTTTGATGTTACTGTTTTTCATTTGGCCGTTTTTGTAATCATTCGTCTGTAATGCATATTCGACATTTAGATAATCAATTATATCTTGTGCATCTTCTAATATTTAAGTTTTTTCCAAACCTTTAGTGATTTTGAGATTCTTATCTTATCTTGTGCATATATTTTAAAGTTTTGTGATTATCTTGTTTATTTGTTTCCTTTTTTGTATAATTATCAATTCTAAATTTCTAATCTGTATATAAACTCCAGGTTACCGACGATTTATTATGAGTTCTTGTTCAGATTTGCATTCAACTATTAATTAAAAATCACATAAGTTTTTTTTCTTAATATAAATTTCATGTATTCTATATAATGTAAAAAAATATATGGTTTTTTTTTTTTTTTTTGGTTTTGCAGTTCATGATCAGTCATCTTCAAATATGAATATTGATCATTCAAATAAAAGTAATTCTTGTTCAGATTTGCATTCAATTATTAATGCACAATCACGTAAGTTTTTTTTGTTAATATGAATTTCACATTTTATATATAATGTAATGAAATAGATGTTATGTTTGGTTTTGCAGTTCATGATCAATCATCTTCAACTATGAATATTGATCATCCTAATAGTAGTAATTCTCGTTATAGTTTTGATTTTGAGCTCTACAATACTGAAAGTTTTAAGCTTGTTCCGTATGATAAGTTGATACATAAGAAGCCATTCAAAGGATTGTTGTTTGATTCATTGGACATTGGTCTTGAATTTTACAAGACTTATGGTCAAGATTGTGGTTTTTACGTGAATATGTCAAGTCAAAAAAGATACAATGATGGCACAATTCATATTAGATATTCGACATGTAGTAGATCTGGTTTCATGGAGTCATTCAAGAATGAAAATGTTAATGTAAAATTTTCAGATGTTAAGAGAAGGAGAACTTCTTCTAAGAACGGATGCCTTGCTGTTTCAAAGTTCAAAAATCTCTGATGTTCTTTAATGTTCTAGATTTATGTGTTTGTTGAAGATCACAACTATGGACTTGTTGCTCAAGATCAGTTGCACTTATTAAGGATTGATAGGACAATGGATTTTCTTGATGAATCCTTTATACATAAGGTTGGTACTTGTAACATTGGTGCTTCAAAAGCTTATAACTTGGTGAGTAGTATGAAGGGTGGCTTTGATTCTAGGGGAGGGACTATAGTTGACTTTAAAAATTTTCATAAAGATTTGAATTGTAAAATTGGTGTCAAAGATTCCCAAATGGTTGTGGATATATTGACAAACATAAAATTGTGTTTCTCTAAATTTTCATTTGAGGTTCAAAAAGATGTTAATGATCATCTTACTGGACTTTTTTGGGCTGATGATACTTCGAAAGCCAACTATAAGGAATTTGGAGATGTAGTATCTTTTGATGCTACTTATCAAACAAACAAGTAACTCCTAATCCTTATTTGTTCTTTTTATGGTATTTGTTCTTTTTAATAATACCTATAAAAAAAATCCAGGTATTCTATGGTATTTGTTCTTTTTACTGGAGTTGACTACCACAAGCGTTGCGTTACTTTTGCTACTGGTTTACTAGCTCGTGAGACAGCAGATGCATATGTGTGCTTGCTTGAAGTGTTTCATAAATCATTTGTCAAGCCTACCATGATGATTGTAACAAATCAGGATTCATCAATGAAGAAAGCTGTTAATTTTGTTTTTCCTGAATCGAAGCATAGGCTATGCATGTGGCACATCACTTAAAAACTTGAGGAAAAGGTATATTTTTTGTTTCTTGAAATTTATATATGTTTATAACCATATAGATCATAAAGCATATAGTGAATTGACAATGTAAATTTTCATATGATGAAATGAACAAATCTAAATCATAAATCACACTGTGAATTCATAATGTGAACCAAATGTTATGTTAATATGAATTACATCAAATATTCAACACATGTAATGATTCCATATGTTTCTTTTTTTTAGATTCCTATCGATGTTTATAACCATCCAGACTTCCAGAAGAAATTTTTGGATATTTTATGGAATCTTCAATGTTCTCCACAAGATTTTAAAAATTCATGGTCAACAGTGTTAGATAAGTTTCATCTAAAAGAAAATGACTGGTTAAGGTCTGTTTTTAAAATAAGGGATGTTTGGATTCCAACTTTTATGAGAGATCTTGAACTTTCTAGTTTGATGCGAAATACTTCAAGATTAGAGAGTTTGAATAATGCTTTCTTATATTTTTTTTGCATCATAAATCAAATTTGGTGAATTTCATGATGTCGTTTGATAGTGCAATGGAGAAGCAAAGGCATCATTAATATTTATTAGATTATCAGTCAACAACTACTACCCCCAAGCTAAGGACTCCTTTGGCTATTGAAAAGTATGCATCGGAAATTTATACACATAATATTTTCTTGGACATTCAGAAAGAGTTATATAAATTCGTGTTTTATTGTGTTCAAGAATCTATAGTTACTGAAGATGAAAGTGAAGTTTATGTTTTGAGAAATAAGAAGGAAAAAAAAAGTTGATTGATAAAAATCTGAATGAGGATGAAGAATCTGATGACTTTTATAGAAATAGTCTTCCTTCTCATTGTCATAATACTCATTACAAGGTATGTCTCTTTGTCCTAATACTGTTTATTAAATATAAAATGTAGTTTCAAAATTCACACTGTGAATGTAGGATGTTTTGCTAAGTAATAGTGTGAATTTTTATAGAGTTATAAATTGGTTTGTACTTTTCATTAGATTAGTATGGAATATGTTTTGTTTTTTTTTTTTTTTGTAAATTTGATTTGAAGTACATAGTTATGTTATAGTATTATGATTTCTACTGTCTTGTTGGTTCATAATGTGAATTGATGTTAATTTGTATAATTTTTGTCAAATGGTATGAGATAGAATTTCTTATTCACATATTAATTTGTTTATTAATGATAATTTTATAGGTTTTATTTAGTAGAAGGGGTGATAGCATTAACATCAGTTGTAGCTGCATGCTTTTTGTCCAGGAAGGATTGTTATGTCGTCATACGTTTTTCATATCAAATATGAAAGAGTATGATGAAATTCCATCAAATTTCATTTTGACGAGATGGGGAAAAGATATCATAGCTGATGGATTGTTGAGACACAAATGTGTCCTAAATGACATATATTGGCACATATAGGCATGTAATTAGTGTTTTAGACAGCTAACATGCAAGGAAACCACCTTATGGACTAGGATACACTTGAAATGAAGTGTTGAAATCACATGGGATTGATCAAAGGGGAGTGTACGTGTGACAACCCAAGTGTTTCCGTTACATTTTCCCCGTTACCATTAACGGAATATTCCACTGTATAAAAGTTCCGTTACTTAGAGGGCGTCAATTTAGTAAACATTCCATTTGGTTGCAATAAGCATGTCGTTAAGTCGTGATGAAAGGAAATAAAAACACAGGACACACAATTCCATTTATTTGGAAAATGTCAAGTTTTATTATTACGACCACTAAATCGGGTGCGACCAAAAGCCCTGTTTAACGGCAGTATCGGGTAAAATCCCACTGAGCCCTGACTCAAAACCCTATATAAGGGTGAGTGGAGTCTATTGGAGACTTTTTACACTCTCTCTCTCTATACTCTCTCTCTAGACCCGTTTTCGCCCCGAAACCGCAACCAAACGCTTCCAAATTGTAAGTCCGCTTACCCTAGCTTATTCTAAACATATTGATTCATGTTCATAGCCCAAAAATCGGACTTAGAAGCAATTGAAAAGGAGTTTACAGCCTAATCACCTCCTTAGGCCGTGAACACCCAAAACAAGGTCAAAATGACCCAAACTTGTCCCTAATAACTTGGAAATAAATAGGGGAATTAGCCTGGGGGTGTTTAAACACTAAAATGCATGGATTTAGGACTCAAAAAAGAGTTTACGGCCCAAGCACATGCTTAGGCCGTAAACTCCCCAAGTCATGGTCCCAAATGCACTCCAAACTCATCCTAGGGCTTCATACATAATTTAGAAATTTATCCTCTTGAGTTTAGACCCTTGAAACACTCCAAAATGAATTATTAAAGGGAGTTTACGGCTAGACAAGGGTCAAGGCCGTAAACACCCTTAAACATGCCCAAAATAATTGTTTTGTCCCCCAAATAGCCTCATACATTTACCATGAAATACTAGAAAGGGATTTAAAGGCTTAAACACAAGGAAATGAGGCATGACTTGGAGTTTACGGCCCAAGCATTTATCTAGGCTGTAAACTCCCCAAAACCCACTTAAATGATGGTTTTAATCCTCCAAAATAGCATCATACTTCACTAGAAATCACTAGAAAGGCATTAGGGGCTTTAAACTTCCCAAAACTCTAAGGATTAGAGTTTACGGCCGTAAACTCCTTAAGGAGTGGTCCCTTGGCTGTAAACTCATAGATCATGCCCTTAGAGGCCTCAAACCCACTCATGCCTTTTTGGAAAAGTGCTTAGAATAAATCAATGAGCAAGCTAGAAGCATAAAACACCCAAGAATATGACCTTGGGAGTTTACGGCCGTAAACTCCCTTGACTTAGGTCGTAAACTACAAATTGGTCCATGTTAATTCTTGAAACCCATTCATACACTTGATATTTGAGTTTAGAAAAGTTCCACAACTGATAGGAGACCCTTAGCACCCTTAAACGCTACCCGGGACCCTAAACACTTAACCAAAGGTGTTTTCTGCTCCTTTGAGCGCGTATATTTGTGTAATTAGCATTAAATATAATAATTGTATGTAAACATATGTTATCATATGTTAAATAGGTCATTGAGTGTGTTCGAGTCCTTACGTGGCACCGAACGCCCAAACAACACTCTCGTTGGACCTACTTACACCAGGTGAGTTCATACCCCTGAATGAACCTTTTTAAATGCTTTTAAATGCTTTTATAGGGGGGGTTACAAGTTATACATGCCAGTTATCATATCAATCACATGTGATTGATAACACGCATGCACAAGATTTTGCCACTATACACTGTTTTTACCGAGTAGGACGCTTTAACACTTTTCAATTGTTTTAAAACTCTTACTTATACCTCTTTAACTAAATTCATTTTAAACTGGTTCGTGAAGGATTTTCCAAGATTTTCAAACATATTTTACAAAAGAATACAACTTGTGAAATTTCCTGTTCATAAAGGTTTTTCATTAGAGATTCCCTTTTGACGTATATTTTTACTTTAAATTTATGCTGATTCGCTTATACTTATTTCATACTCCTACTCTGTAATGCTTCCACCCATACTGATAGACGCTTATACTTATCCACACTCTTACTTAGAAATACAAATCTACTTCACTAATACTTGATATCGACTCTACTTCACTTATACTTGAAACGCCCTCGTTTAAATTATTGTCGTCTCTGCTTCGTGATACGCTTATACCTATTCGACACTTCTGCTTCACTTGCGACTGCTTTTACTTCACTTGTATAGACGCTACTACTTCACAAGGATCATTTCTACTTGATTTACACACCTAGCTGTAGTTAGATGTATGTCTGTGCTTACATGGATACATATACGGGATTGACAACCCCGCACCCTGACTGCTAGCTATAGTCCCGGCCTACCAAGCCAATGGGTGACAAATGTCACATTATATAGATGCTTGTAGGGCATCTAGAACTCTAGTCAGTATGGTTACAAGTATCCTGGGTTGCCTTATAATTCATGGCTTTAAGGTAACGGTATTTCGTCAGCAATTTACACTGTAAGCTGATGTCCATTTTCAGAGTCACACTGTTTCGACCGTGGTAGACGTATCTTTCATTTGATAATGTCTGCGGTCTGTTATCACTGTTTTGACCGTGCTAGACGTATCTTTCAATTGATACTGTTTGTGGTCTGTAGCCTTTGTTTTGACCTTGCGAGATGTACCTTTCATTTGGTATCGTCTTCGGTTTATATTCACTGTTTTGGACCTTACCAGCTGTACCTTTCAATTGGCACCTCATGGAGTCTGTGTCTCCGTTTGTTAGACTGAACCAGGCGTGTCGTTAGTTCGATACTCTCCTGGAATCTATGATTCTTTAGCCTTAGACAGCAGTCCTCACTGCTGAGGCATATGTTATTTCCCTGATGTCTCCTGCTTCTTTAAATCAAATTCAACATTTGAAAATAATAGCAATTAAGGGAAAACTACATCTTACCACATTTCACTGACCAGCCTTGGTAGAAGGCTGCTTTTATTAAAGAAAATATAGGATTTTCTGGAAAGAACACTAATGCACTGAAAACACTTAACCTACTACTTTATAAAGTTATTTGACAAAATGACACTTAATACTTATGAACACACCAACATTTGTAAAAATGCTGATACTCGCTTTTCAAATAACTTGTAATCTCAGGTCAGCAATTAGACAGGTACATCCCCAGAGCTGTTGATGAAGATGGTTTTGTACCTTGCTACACTTTATATATATTTGCTTGTATTACTTTAATTCTATGTAATGTAACCATGTAAAATTATTACTGTTAATGAAATGTTTTGTTGTACTTTGATTACTATAATCATGTGTTGTGATACTTGACATGACGTCATCCACCCTAGAACGTTTCCGCCGTTCCGGTTTTGGGGTGTGACAGTACGGCCAAGGGATGTGTGTTCACGGCCACACTTGAGTATACAACCACACCATGTGTTTACGACCATAAACTCATGGAAAATCATGCAAAATGGGTGTTTGATCCATGGGAAAACTA